ATAAATTATTCAAGTTTAACTTCTCGATTGAATCGCAATTGAAACTAGACTCTCGACATATTCTAGTGCAATAAAAAAATCATATCAATGCTTGACGGGAATGTTTTTGTATAATTCTTGATTGGATTTTTACTCAGTTTATTTTTAGCTCTAAGATATAAGAGGTGGGCCCGAAGTCCTGACGCGATGTGTGTAATAAATTTTTCTATGTTAAAATGTACACTTGCAAATGAATCTCTATGATAGAAAGGTGCAGTAAAACACGCTCTACAAAATAACTGCGAGTTGGTCTCACTAGCACCTGCAGTAAGAAAGTTACAAGCTGAGAAATATGCTTCACAAAAAATAAAAATTAACCCTGAAGTCGGTCTTGGTATTTTTACTCCAATTCTTGTCGCTTAGGTTCCCTAAAACAAATTCTTTTTGTTAACAGAAGCGCTTTGAAAGTCTCTACAAAATCATACCTAAACTTTAATTCCAGAACTTCAATCAAGATAACAGCAAATAATATACGAGGCGAAAAACATGAAGAAATTATGTATTGTTTTTGAATTTAACTTTTTCTTTTCCTACTATTTCTATAAAACAACGTAGCGTAAGTGAGAATTCAGTCGACTTTGGTACTTTCAAATGTATTCTTTCTCATAGTCTGTGAAAATTTTCTTTCAGAGAAAAGACGATAGGCTTCAAATCAAAGTGCCAAAAAAGACGTCAAAAATCGACAACCTTGTTTTTGAAAATGCAATCAGCAAGAAACAGAAGACGTGGTGAAACTTTTGTTGTAGCAGCTAGGTAGAGAAGGATAATCATTACTGATCAAAACAAAAGAAACCTGATCGAAAGATCTATTTTTTTCATGAAGTTAAGGGACCTTCACTGAAAGTACCACCATATAGACCAGGTTCATTGTTGACTTTCAGTTTTTGTGAAGAATATTTCTAAGCTTGTAAGTTTTTTACTACGTGAGCTACTGGGGTCAATTAATAATCATTTTGTACAGCGTGTTTTACTGCATCGTTTTTTGATAGAGACAAATTTACAACTACGTGTTTCACTATGTGAAAATGTTTTTATACAAATCAAGTCAAGACTTCTGGACCACCCTTTATATATATACTTAATTTAGACTATGAAACATCAAGTAAGTTTTTTTTTATTAAATCTAAATCAAATGACACAAACGTTATTAAGATAAAAATCAAGCACATGACATGAATACTGTTGAACTAAATTCTTGTATCTTTGTTTAATGTAGCTAACAGAAGGTACCTGCTTGAGAGTGAGAGTAGAAACATTTATCATTACAAATATGTTTAATTGACTTGATACAGTGTGTCAGCAGCTAAATGCAAAATTACTTTATCAAAGTTATGTCAACCTGTATTACTCTTTCAAGGAATAAGTTTATATGGATCTAAAAATTATTTGAAAGAATATGTCAATCCGTCTTTACGAAAACTCAACAATTTCCTTTGTTTATTTGATTGTACACATGATGACAAAGATTTTACTTCTATTCTATGAATTTGCACGATAGTAAAAACGTTTTAATATATTATGTAAAATGTTTCTAGCGGGAAAATTCTCAAAGCAGAATTGAACAACATATTGTTCATCTTATTTGATTCATGTTCATTGATGCGAATTACAATCTTTGACTTTCCTTAATACCGTTTACAATGGTCTTTTTTGTTTTGATTAAATGCGTGAAAATATTCACGAAGTGTACCTTCCTTGTTCGATTTTGACCTTTTTGGGTTCTCCAGGAAAATGCAACTGATCGAACTGAAATGTTCATTGGAGATTAAACTAGCCATTTTTATTTTTAATCTACACGTCTAGATTTATACAAGTTTCAAACGTATAATCACTGGCTTCGACTTGAAACCTTGATTTATTTTTCAACATCAAAAAAACGAAATTTTCTAGAAATCTGAAAACTAAATGTGAACTATAATCTTATCGATATCTACGGAATCATATTTAATTTAACTGAACAAAATTTAATAGGAATTCTCATCTATCAGGATACAATCTCTTAGAAAAACAACGTTTCCCCGCGAAGTTACCATCGAAATTAAATGAATATGCTCTGTTCCCATCATATATCCATGTATGGGTAATTAAACTGAAATACGAATAGCAGTTACAAACATTTCATTTTAATATAAAACTTGAGGATGAGCATGGGAAATATTAATTATGAAACTAAGTGCATTTCAAGTATCGTCTATGTGAAGATATTATCAAGATAACTATGCTACTCAACTTAAATTTGATTTATGTTATAAAGCGGTTCAACTCAAAATAAAAATAAAAAATCTAATAAAAAAACAAAGGATCAATATCTAAATAGAAGACTCTTATTTTCGATCATGATTAATACAAAAATCTCCTCCTTCATTTTTTTTCCTAATCTTATTGATATTTATTTTGGTCTTGTTCGGGGTGCCTTTTTTGCTTTGTTCTAATGAATATTTGCTGTACAAATATTACAAAAACTTCTATAGTTTCAAGTTAACAAGAAAAATAACAATGTGGAAGCTTGTAATGAAAAATTTTCTATTTGTTATCTGAAATTAAAGCTGTTCATTTCTAGATTCGATTTCTTCTTCATTTATTTGGTTGGTCATCAGTTATAATCATGGATCGTATTGGTTTGCTTTTTTATAATTCCAAGTATAAGTAAATACATTTAATTTGTGCATTATTCAGGAAATTTTTCTAATGCATGGCAAAAGTTCATTCAAGATCCTCATGTTGCTCATGCAGTATATTCAATGACTATTCTAGATGGTCGAACAGGTTCAATACTTTTTGAGCATGCTAAAGATGTAGGTCTTCCACCAGCATCCTCACTTAAAACAATTACAGCAGCAGCTGCTTTACATTATCTCGGTGCGAATTATACTTATGAAACTTTGCTGCAATATTCTGGTAAAATAGATACTGTAACAGGCTTTCTTGACGGATACATTTATATTGTGGGTGAGATGAAATTTGTTTTGATCTTCTCTAATGTTTTATGAATGTATGATAGGCAGTGGAGATCCATCATTAGGTAGTTGGCGATATGATGAATCGATAACAGCAGATTCTATTGTTAAGAAGTGGATAGAAACTATAAAAAAAGCTGGAATAAGAAAATGTCGAGGTATTATAGGTGATACTAGTCGATGGAATAATACTAAGACAATGATCATTGATGGATGGACATGGAATGATATTGGGTAGGTTTACAGTAAAATATTCTTAACGATAACTTTCTACACTAAAATCTATTCACCAAGAAGAATTTTAAAAATGTCTTAGACTAATTTTAGTCATTGGTATGGTACTGGTCATTCGGCATTAAATTGGCGCGAGAACGAATTCACCATTGAAATTCAACCAGGCTCTTCTATTAATACGTCCGCACATATTATTGCAATAAAGAATCCACCACCTCGTTTAAAAATTATCAATGAATTAATGACTTCATCTTTAGAAGGTGAAGTATCTCTCTATTTTTCTGTCGATGGTTCTAATGTAGGTTATTTACGTGGTATTGTACCACTTGATGCATCTCCGAACTTCAATGTTCATTGTGCTGTACCTGACTCAGCTGTCTATGCTGCTCATGAATTAACTCAAGAATTAAGAATCAATGGAATCTATGTGAAACAAGAAGCAAGAGCTGGTTCAAGTGAAAACGAAAAACTATCTCTTCTAAATATTCACCAATCGCCACCATTATCAAAGTTAATTGAACAATTTCTTCGTATTAGTATTAATATGTATGGTGAAGTATTTGTTAAAACAATTGCTCATCGAACAGGAAAAAGTTCATTATTAGATGCTCCATTGAAAATTCTTCCATCCTACGTTCATACATTACTTGACATAGAAAATTCTTTGGATGGTATCGCAATAACAGATGGGTCAGGTCTATCTCGTAGCAATCGTCTAAGTACATATGCTTTAGCACGAATTCTATTTACTGTTCAAAAACAGCCATGGTTTGACAACGCTTATTATGAAGCTTTTCCTACAATAAATGGACTTCGAATGAAAAGTGGAACACTAATGAATACAATTGCTTATGCTGGTTATATTAAAGAACATTCGTTTGTTTTTTCGTTTATGATTAATAACTATCATGATGAAACTGCTCCGAATATGAGAAAGAAAATTTGGAATATGCTTGATGCATTAAAATAAATAAATAAATATAATATCTTATATTTTCCTCTATAATTCTCTAATGAAAGAATGAATTTACAATAAATTCTATGGCATATACGTTTTGACGAATAAGCAATGAAAAAATTCTAAACCTGCGCTAAATACAAATAAATAGATAATTTTTTAAACGTCTTCATAATCAAAATAATACCGATAAAAATATTTATGGTCGTTATTTTGTAGTAAATTTAATCATCAAATATTCATCCTAAATATAAGAAATAAAAACAAAGAACTGACTTCACTTTTGATATAAATGATGATAATATCAACCATTTATACTTCTTACTCATTAAATAATGAAAGAAATTCTGTAACTTTTCAACAAGGATTTTATACAACGAAGAAAAATAGATTTTAATCCAATATAAGTAGCTTGAAAAAGTATTTTGATTATGAATTTGTTTTTGTCGATATACTATATTTCTACATTATTGCCGAAGTACTTTATTATCGTTGAGTCAAGAACACCATAAAATCTAAATTTCAAATTTATATCAAGATAATTTGCATGGGACATATGTTTTAATAAGAATAATTTATTATGATGAAAGTTTCGCTGAATGTGTATGAGAATAACGTAAGTTTGAATATATTATCAATATTCATGAATCGTTTTTTATGCTTATATTCGAGATGAAAGATGTTATTCATTAATCGAATGTTTCACAAAAATGTTTACTATTTGACGACTTTTTGTTTTCATTATTCCAAGGGTAAATAAAAGACATGACAAGAAAAAGAACATAGAAAAGTACTAGAACAACCGAAGAAACTTAGTATTCATTATCATAATTGATTGTTTGTGTTGTACTAATCATATCAGAATCAAATGTAGTCAAGTTTGTGTTATTGTTAGCAACACTATTATTATTATTTGACCACCACCACCATGGTGTAATATTTATAACCGGTTGTTCAAGCCAATGGATATCAATAGCATAAAAGATTACAACAAAGATAAAGATACCAATAATGCAAGTTAGTAAAGTCAAACAAATGAGTCGTATTATTATGTATAGTATCCAATATATGCATGTATCATTAAGGTCTTGCGGTAGTAAATTTTGCTCTCTATATATGAAAGATAAATTGATGAAATGATTCTATCTATATCACAATCAATATCCATACTCATTTATAAAAACATGTTTGTTAGTTTGTTCATTTAATTGAAGTAATGATGATTGTTTTGTCCCATTAAATAACGAACTCGGATCAAATGTTTTCCTTTGTTCTATTGGTGAATCCATTGTTGATGATGGTAAGATTAAACTTATCGTAGATCTATACAAAAACATAGAAAATATATTACGGAGCAAAATTCAATAGAAAAACGTAACCGTTTCACCGTTGGATTATCCATTTGATAAGAGTCGATAAGCTTATAGAAAATCTATTAGGATATGGTAATTTTAAGCATAAAACAGAATATATAAGGTGCCGCTAAAGCAGAATTGGAGTAAATTTTGTTTTTCGTTTATTCATATATGGTTTGATAGAGCTTGAAAAGCTGATCACGAATATATACTTTTTATTTCGATTTAGTTAC